TTGAATCGAGAGACCAGTAACTTTTTAATGACTCTCAGCATTTGCTTCAGAGATGTGATTTCACTGGCACACGATAAATCAAGCAATCAAAAAACCTGTTGATGTTGCAGAGCTATCGCCATATTCGCCATTTGATTTGTTTGTGATAGCGACATCTGCAAATATTTAACTTTAGCGACAAAACTAACGGTAAAAATAATAGAGTATAGTTTTTTACGCACTATGCCACGTGAGCCCCGCCCTAATTTACAACTGAAAAATCCGATGTCCTTTCTTTTGACAAGCACACGTGAGGATGTCACTATGTTATCTATTTATCCCCAAAAGATGATATTTCGGCGGATTTCGACTTCTGCATAGTCTACGAATATCAAATTAGTTCCAACCTAGTCAGCCAAAAACCTCTACAAGTTCAACATAAAAACAATGATACCTAGAACTCAGCCACGTTGGAAATAAAACAGGTTTTTGACACACTTGCCACGTTCTATGGTCTTCGTGTATACCACGAAGAGGCTAATGGTGCAGAGTTCACATTGACGGGCAATGTGCCTCTCACATTAAAATATCAGTTTAAAATACTGTGTGGGATCCCGCGTGATTACTACACACTACTCCCGCAGTTCATTTTCAGATTCTTGCAATCTACACAGAATCCTTCGAGAGTTTGGCGCACTGAATTTTTCGATTCTTTTCTTTTCGAGTATGGTAACTTCTACATCAAAATCTTTGCCGTAATGTCTCTGTACCCCATCTTCGCCTACTGACCGTCTATACACAACGCAGAATTGCGCAATTTTCCTTAACGGTAGAGATGGTGATTGCATAAGTTCAGGTACGGTGTACATAATCTCTCTGAAACCACTTCGGAACGATCATTTTAGCAAAACAAGTAACCATTCCATGTCCATATAACAGAACGCTCAGGGAACAAAAAAAAAAATGAAATTCACACAAAATACTCCAATTGGCGCGCAGGAATACAGACACATGACGGGAAACACTTTAAAGTTGCAGTTATCAACCTTGCACGGGAATCGAAAACTTCACCGCGCCAAACTCTCGACGCATTCTAGATATATTCGAAGCATCCAAAAAAGAGGGGAGAAAAGAAGTGGGTATTAACCATCCATGTAAACTTCGTACGGTTAAACTCCGTGTGTAATACCTAAACTGAGACAAAACGGCGAGTATGTGAAGTTGTTTTACTTCCACTGCGATTGAAAAACAGGTATGTACGTGAAAACAGGTATAAACAGCCTTTCTGTTGGGATTATGGAAATGTTTGGCTGATTAGATCTCAGTTAACTTAACCCTTCTAGGCTCTGAAGAAGGCGAAATTTGCCAAAACGACAGTTTTTGTGAATAAATAGTGTAGTAACAACATGGTCACGGTTATCAAGAAAATAACGAATTGTTGATCAATGCCGAAGTTAAATGAAAGTCGGTACTACAATTCAAAATTCTATTCAGTAGAATTTCTTGAATAGCACGTATCATATGCCCATATACAGCTGGTTTGAAAGGAAAACAAGCTCTCCACATCTATGAAAAAGTAGTTTTCAAATTCAACCAATAATTAGAATCATACCTGAGCAGCCAGTGTATTAGCTCCGCTGGTCCCCATGTTTGCCTGAAGAGCGGAATTAGCAGTCAATGGCGAAGCCTGACAAACTGTAGGAGATGGGTTGCACTGTGACAACGATGACGTGGTTGGTGAATCGTCTTTGTGTCGCTTAACTGCTGGAGATGGTGCTAAACATATAGCTGTTTATATAAATTGATATAGAAAAAATCTAAACTTTTGACTTCTCATACCTCCAACTGATGACCTTTTCAGTTTAGCAGACACTTTCCGAAACATCTCTGCAGAAATTTCATGATTTAGATGCTCGTCATGAAGGGTGGTGATTTTAAGCAACTGTAAAACAACAACTAAGAAAAAATAATAACCTACAAACAACGGACCTCTTGCAATAAAAAAAATAAGAAGTGACGTAATCCATTTCTGACCTGCTCACTGAAACTGTAGTTCAAGCGAAGCATTGCTCGACATCCTGATGGCAAATAGTGTTGATTGGGGCGTTTGCCAATACCTGATATATTGCGTTTAATTCATATCATAGGAGGAAACTACTCGATATCCGTAAAATTCCAAGAAAAACAAGTACAACTGCCAAATTCCATTATTCCAAAACATAAGAGCAAACAGAGGGCGAGTGTGGCGCAGTGGTTAGACATGCCCTGTATTACACGTGTGCATTTCATTCTTTAGGGGACGGTAAATTTTTACCAGACTCGTCTAGGAGGATAGTAGCATTGACTCGATACACGGGTAGGCCACCACGAAACCACGAACAGACCAGATATGCACTAAACCATCTCTAACGATGCTTTATGAAGTGCAATGTACGGTGCATTCCTCAGGAACTGATCTCGATAACTTCAACTAGTTCCATCTTCGAAGCCGGCTTCTCTCGCAATGAATCTAAAGGATGTTCAAAGGCTTAAATTATGAATGTTGCCACGTTGATAACTTGATTCGGCAGGTAAATTCTTCTTTTCCAGCGTTCCACACACAGTGCACACAGCTGTGCTCCACATTATGGTTTATTACTGTTTTCGGACAAGATTTTTTTTTACTACAGTAAAAACATATAGCGCTACAATGACCGAATCATCTTGTAATTGATGTTTATAGAGATCCCAACCTTCTTTGTGCGATATAACCCCAATACTATCAGCCGATTACAAATGAATCACTACCACTTCACAACTCCTGTGGAGGAATTGCATTTTCTCCCGGGTAGATTACGACATCAACACGAAATACTATAGGTTCGCACAGTTATTTTAGCCCTCGTGATTCAGTTTCTTTGTCCCTTTCCAAACTAAAAGAGACCACAGAGGCGTAGGCGGAGAGGAAGACGACTCTGTCAGCTGGTAATAGCATCTGTCTATGCTAATTGTAGGTTACCGTGCAATGAACAACGCACATTATAGAGATCGACAGGCCGAAGTACGAGCACAGCTGCTCGCAAGAACTTCTTTTCCTGAATTTCATAACGGATACGAATTCAAATTAAAACCCTTGGAAATTTTCTACCATTTCGATCAATAATTGTAGAGAGAAAAATCCGTATTAAAAAGACAAGTAACAACTTTTTGTTCAGGTCCTAAGCAAACAAAAGCCACAGGTATGCTGGAAAACAATTCTTGGACCCTTGAAATGCTCGCTAAATAAATAAATAGTGTACAGTTCTTCCTAAATAATCCTTCTCTACCTCTCTAAGATAAGTTTTACCCATGTCGGCAAATGGCTTTGAAGAAAAATGTAATATACGCAATTACTATTTGGGAATTCTGATCATAGGAAGTACGGCAAAATACAATAAAACTATTACAAAGATTTGTTTAGAAACCCAGCACGACTTGATCACTGCACTAGTAACCCTATTTCTTCACTAGCGAATAATTTCAGACCGACCTTGTGCCTCGGTACTACTACGGCAAATTTGCGGTTACAGGTGGGCTGTTTTTTCGCCTAAGAAAACGGCGCTCGCAAGCGCCACATGTTCTCTGAGGCGTACCTAATTATACATGCAGACATGTCCGTTTAGACGATCATGATGACCAAGAGAAAACGTGCGACGCGACAGATGGGTGAATACATGCTGTGGTTCGCACAACATGAACAGGTGCTGGCAGCTTACCTCTCATTCTTGGCTCACCATAATGAGCACAGTGAAACACCACATAGCGATATTTGAAGCGATGATTGACCGTTCCATCAGGTTCTCTCAATGTTTCTGATGAAGCCACACGGAATGGATGCAAGCATTTTCTTTTCCACGCCTCAAATGCCTCGTCAAATTCGGCGTAGCTAAAGTGGCCATTATTAAACTGTGACAAATGCAACATTTCAACGTAACCTTCACCTTGAAAAACGAGCATCATGAGTGATCAAAGGTACATCGTTATCACTCTCAGGTGCTCCATGAACGGGTTTCGGAACAACTGGTGCTACCGTATTCACAGCCGGACTTGCCGCATGAAATTCCGTTTGATTGAAGCTGGGTACACCAGCGATTTGTGGAACATCGGCACGAATGTTACTTGTCCTATGCCCACTGTGCATTGTCGAATTAACTTTTGGAGGCACTGAAATGTATTTCTTTACTTAAATCTTTGGCTACAGGACATTATGTATATCCAGCAATTCAGTGGACACATTAACAAAAGTAACCATCTACCATATGTTTGTAAATGTTGTGTTTAAATTGATCTAAATCGATCGAAATTTTTAAAGAAAAGTAGTATTAAATGTGAAACCTACGTAAACACTAATACGGATGAACTGCCGGTTCTACTCAGCATAATTCAATTCTGAGAAAAATAATTCGATTCTTGGAAGATAGCGACATAAGATACCTATTCCCTACCTGGCATAAGATCGGTGAACGTCGGAGCAGCTGCTTCATCAACTAGTGTCGTAGATACAGTGTTATCAGATGAAGGATGTGAGATGGTGCTGGTTGAAGCTATTGAGGCAGTTGATGTGTGTGGGATATCCTAGAAACTACTTTCTCTAGCACATTAACTCCTCGCAACTGTTAGATTTGAAATGTGTTTATTTACAAAAACATCACCGCAAGCGCGGCATACTCTTAAATGCTAGTGCCGGAGACATCAAAAAGCATATCGAATGACGGAGGGCACATAGTCTTGAATTCATCACTGTGACAGATGATATCAACTTGATGTATAGACTCGATAAGCATCTGGAACAAAGAAAAGAACAAAAATATCTTACAACTTACCACATGAAGTTCTTCCAGATGATTCGGGCTACTACTGCTACTGCATCCACTGCTACTTCCAGTGCTGCTACTCCAAGCATCATAATGAGCTTTCTTCGGAGGAACATGCTGAAACCACAAAATTTATATAAGGGTAGGAAACCCGACAACGATGGAAGGAACTGACCACAAAATCAGGGAATCCATATATTTCTACTGGGTAATTTTGACTTGGCTTTTCGGAAGCTGCCATCGCATTAAACTGAAAAAGGATTATTAAAATTAAGCTAATTAACCTATCCACAGAAATGAATCGAAGACGGACAACATATGACACGCTCGGTCCAAGTGATAAATGCTATTTCGAAAATATGCCTTTCCTATACATAGTTGTTGGTTGATTCTCTCAAAGAATCCGGAAAATCATAAGCAGTGATTCTCGGCAGTAATAGGGAGGTTGGCTAGAAAGGTAGTGTGGTGAGTTACGCAATGCGACCCAGCCACGACCCGGCTGTGCGCAAAACAAATCAGACCTTAGGTCAGCAATGAAATAGACTCAGTAGTAACCTCCAATGGCATAGTTAATGAGTGACCTCCATTTTTTAAAAGCAATAGATCCTCTAAGGAAGAAATGACCTAAATCAATAATGCTGCCTTAATGACGTTCAGATGACCAGGGTGTTAAATCTCAGAAAAAAAACTGCTGCCAAGATTCTCCAAATAGTTCAGAATAACGTTATTATATATGCCCGCAAAAAGCAACTACTAGTTTACATAATGGACGTAATTACACTCAATTTAAGAATGGTCAAAAATGATGGCAGGTAGATTGGTGAAGGCTACGGCAGTCGGCAGTTACGCTGCATCTATGAACCCACAAGGGCTATGTAATCATAGGATATGCTCCGCCCATGCCAACGGCAAATGGCGCTAAAGCAGTCGATGCTGGAGGACATAGCTTAGGTAGGGATCTGCTCAGATAGGATGTTACCACAGTTATTTAGGTTACCTGAATGGGGATCAGAATATCTCCATAGGCAACCTTTCACAGCCGATATATGGGACAGGTCACACATCGGCAGAGGGGAACTTAGAGTTGTTTGGCCATAACACAATAGTTGCGCTTCGATACCAAACCATGTTAACTCCACATTTACGAACCAAGACAAACTGTAGCAAAACCAGCATCATTACCATGTCGTTATAAATTTGTTCAAGCTTACGTTGTAAAACCCATTCGCTAAGAAAAGAACTGATACATCCGAGATTCACGCTTTCACCTAAGAGTTAGGTGTTCATCAGTGAGGCGAATCTCAGTTTGTATTTCTTCTGCGTCCAACAATTCGTAGAGATACAGTGATTGAGTATAAATAATTCCACCACGTCTCGCTCATTCAAACCCATAGCGGGATATGCACCAGCGCTGCAACGCTCTTACGACATCCATATGTCGCGCCTGCGCTTGTGTACCGTAATCGCATGCATGCCACCGCCACCGTACGGACTAGAACTAAAGGAACTCGAGAATTCAGTACACACTTCTGTATTTAAATTTAACGAACACAAAGGGACAAACACTCAAGTAGAACATGTGGCGTCGACCAGTCCGCTTAGGAAGTGCCGTCCACTTGGGTCTATGGAGCACTGTAGAAATGAATGGTTGCATATTTGGATTATACAATGACTTGCGAAGGCCTACTGATCTACAAGTCAGTGTTTCTATTATCTAAAACAAGCCTGGTACCAAACTGCCGACCTCAGTGGGATGGAGGCTTGTTCAACCCGGCGTACGGATCGAAGCTGTGTGTTTCACGGCATATCGTGAGATAAACATACCTCAATAATAAGAAAGACAAGTGTAAACCAATAATCTCACCGTTGTAAAATGATTATTTGCTTTACATATTTGTAGGTCTAATAGGCTTAATTCTATAGCAGTTTTTCCGTCAAAACTTTAAGCAGTAAACAAAATATTCCCTTGCTGAACAGTTCGAACTACATACTGCCACTTCTCGCTCTTCACTGAATTTGTGCATTCTTTCAAAGGCATTTCCAAATCATTACGTCTATACGTTTAATAACTTCATAGACCCCCCCCCCACACCTCCCAACGCTTTGCTAGCTTATTGTGAATGAAGGTATTTTAGGGAGTGCGATGTACGGCAAGAATGAGAAGGTAGATGTTTGACATTTCCATTTGGAAATTGGAAAGTCAGCTAAGAGCAAACCTACACGGATACCACCTCAGCCTCGGGAAAAACCTAGTTGTGAAGCGGCGAATATCTCTTCAGTCAACAACAGCCTGCCACTACTTGCGGTGATGGTCTAAGAATATTCCGAGATGGGTTTTTCGAGACTCTAGATGCAAATCTTTACCAAATAAAAAACATATTTAAATACAAGTAACTCCCAAAAAGATATATATGTATGTATTTGTAAAAAAAGGCCCGAGAGACACATATATGGCCCAGCCGATGTCGACCTTCTGCTTACCTTATTTGTCTCTAGAACGTATTTAGCAGTAGTGGATACTTTATGAAGAAAAAAAACCAATGAACAACTTTTTTAGGGAAATCTAAGCCAATGCCAGAAGTTCAAAATGGCTAGGCTCTGAAAAATTTGAAATAGAGAAAATATAAAATAGGGACTACTTACTACACAAACACTTCGTGAGTGTTTTAACTTCCTTCACCTCACAACATCCTCAGGCAAACCAAAACAAGACGACAATGAAACGGATTATGCTGTGTTAACAGTTTTTGCAGAACAGCACTACATCTTAAACGCGGGCAAATGCGTTTCTCAATAGTGGATACGAAGTTTCCGTAGATTGTCACTATTAGTGAATGCGATTGTTGAAGAGAATCGAACACAAAAGGCTGTGCAGTAATACACTTATTCAGAAAGGATTACTTAAGGAGCTTAATGTATTCAAAACAAACAGCTACCTTTGATGCTGCAAAAAATCATCGTTTCCCTAAAAATAGGAAGAAATCACCTAGAGTGTCTATCACATAAAATCCCCAAGTAAATAAAGCTGTACAAGATTCTGAAAAACAACTTAAAAGAAAATATTAATGTGGAGATCTGCGGACTTATGGATGATAAGTGTCCTGAAACAAATATGAAAACTAGTAATTTGTTCCACGTACCGGTACCAACTAAAAAGCTGATCGGATGGAGAACCTTATATCGTAATCACCCCTATTTTTTAGTTTGGATGGGTTGTTTTAAGCACTGAAATCTAGTTAGCAAAACTCCTGTACTATCTATAACTCACCTCAGGCGATTGCAGTCGATTAGTAGTCTACAGTAGTGGCTATCTCGATGTAGACGTATTTCCCTGATTGCGTCAACAACGCATAGATGACTGTCTGGATATGTGCCGAGTGCTCTACGCCACGATTTTCACCTACAGAGAGGAAGAGCTATCCGTTTGGTCGGAGAACACAAAAGAGCATGCCGATGGAGAGGGTAAGCAACGAGGGCGGTACCGGTTCGGCCAGCTTGCACAAAAGAGCAGACGTAGCCGAGATGGCAAAGAGCGAGGGTCAGCCCGAGACCATCTGCCGGGATATGCAAATTGTGGACAGCAGCAGAAGTCCGAAAAATCGCTCTCAAATCTGACATTAAGCACAAAGAAATTTGGTGAACAGATAGATTAGCAGTGTTAAATCATGCATGGAAGAGAGCAAGAAGAGCACACGTCATGAAGAACGTCGTACGAATATACTAACTTCGGAACTCGGTATGAGCACGCTGTATAAAAAGATTTGAGAAAAACAACCACTAGCCTACTCCCTAACGAAGAAGCGAAAGCCGTTAAACTACCAGAAGCACAATATATAACTTCCACTATGGTAAGTTGTTTGCTCCATGAATAATATTTTCTTCACTGATTCCACGAGTAGTAAATCCTGATCGAACTCATTCTACTACCTGAAAAACTTAATTTAGCATACACCCCAGTTTCCGAATCTCGAAAACCACTCCGAGTATCAAAATGTTTCACAGGCTTAACACATAGCATAGCAATCCACCAGTGTTATTAATCTTCGGTTTCACTAACCGAGCGAAAAGTATGTAGCTACAACCTAATGGCGACCTCTGACAGCCCTAAAGGGTCAGCCATGCATTATGTAACCACCATCAACTATCGATCGGGTCAGTTCGGTGGTACTCGAAGTAAACAATGATCAAAGACTACGGTAATCGTTGTTATACAGCCGTCCAAAGGTAAAGTTTCTTTGATTCTTGCGACAAACAACTGATACTATCTAGCACGGTAATGAGACGGGAATAAAAACATTGAACGAAACCCGAACATGCAGAAAGCTTATGAAAATTTAGCTCTGAAGGAAGGAAGTCATACGGAACTCAACATAAGCATAAGTATTCGAACATTAGCACTTTTCAAACCCGATAATCAGTAAGTACAAATGTTCATCGCACAATCCATATAATGGTGAAATCTGTCAAGTTTGAGTGAGAGCCGTAGCAAGGATGAGTAATGTCGTCAGTTTTTCGGATGCTCATATAGTGGAAGACAAAGAAAGTTGCTCTAAAAAGCGGATCCAGGCGCACAATGTGGACACAAATCCGAGTGCCCAATTGAATGGCGCGAACTAAGGGACGAGCTATACATTGGAGAAAAAAACGTAGATGCATTCTTACCAATTACGATGAGAAAGGAAAACTGCAACAGAATGCAACTTCCATAACGAGAAATTTTCACACTGTAGTTTAACCATATATAATATCTGTAAACAAAATATCAGTAGGCATTGTAAAAAATTTGAAGCTAACCAGTGTTTCTAGAGGGTTGGGCTTTGCAAAACCTACGTTCTGGTCCAAAAAGCAAAAGCCGCCGAAACAATGGTATATTTTGAGTTAAAACTTCCACAATTTAAACATATTTCTCTACTTATCCTCACTTATGTTACCTGTAACCCTACCAGTCATCGAATAAAACACCATGGAAGATTTTCACCGTCAAAAAATATCTGCCAGCGGCCACGCGTCAGAGTTCTCCAGTAAGCTTTACACGTTCGATGGAAAGAGCACCAACCGTTTCATACGAAATTATAACCTTCATTGCTTTGTGAAGGCCGATTAAGAGCTCGCTTGAACTCTGCAATTGTTAAGTACTGTAGTTTATTGCTTGCGTTTCCGTGAAGCAGAAGTAGAAGTTGAAGGTGAACTTGGACACCTTTCTATATCACCCTTCTGTCACTGACACTAGGCCGAATCGACATATAGGATACACATATACTCAAGTATACTTAAGAACAAATACATGGGTATCATCAAATCTATATGGAAGACAGGTTAATCTCAGCAAGATAGAATCCACTTCTTTAATCTTGTGCTTCAGTGCATGTTCAAATTCCTACTGTTCTTAAGCACGTCTATTATTTGAGGATGAGCTATGTAGTGTCATAACTATCTCACTAAACAGCCCTTATCCGAGGAAATCAACGGACCAGCTAACAAGTTCAAAAAGGAAACAAAGTGATCTAGCTGGACCTACTAACCCATTAACATAGAATATGCTACGTGCTCCCTTACGCTGTATTCATAACCGAAGTGATCGTGCTGC